GACGCTCAGTAATGGATGTTCGCGTTAACGTTAAGAGAAGCGCAAAGCTATCAACCGATCATCACCTTGTTGTTGACACGCTGCGCTGTAAAAAATGGAGCACCATACTAAGATCCGGTGGCACAGACAACCGGAGAATGAAATGGTAAACATTACCTTCGATGAACACGAGAGCGAAATTGGATACACAACATTGCATGATGGTTTGAACAGATCCCGGTAATGACTACTGATGTGGAAACCGAGTGGCAGCTCTTTCAGAGTGGATGCTCAAGGCTATCGCCGAATGCTGCGAATTTAAACAGGTTGACCTGTCATCTTGAGGTCAGAAAAGACCTTCCTGATGAAAAGGAGAGGTACAACTGGTAGTTAACGAGAAGAAGGCAGCATTAAACAAATGGCTAGGAAACAGCGAGGCGTGCGATATTCGAAGCAAGAAAGGCGGCAGCGAAAGCAGTGGTGAAAGCAAAAGCGGATTCCTAGGAGAAGTTCGGTGAGGTGTTGGAGCCGAATTTCCACACGGTCAAATAAGGTATTCTGGCATGCCATCCGCTGGCTCCGAGGTGAAAATAACAGGAGTGTAAGAGTTTTGAATCTGGACATCCTCTTGCCAAGGATAAGGACATTCTTCGACGAGAATACTCTGCCGAACTCCTAAACCGAGAGCAAAAGGAGGAAGACTCCCGTGTAAAGCAGCAGAGAACGGATTTCTGTAGATGAAGTCACACAAGCTGTGGAAAGCCTGAAAAGTGGAAAGGCCGCAGAAATTTATGAAATCAGGCCTGAAATGCTCAAAGCAATAGCTCAGCAAGCCATGTGCTGACTTACCGTGTCTCTCAAACTGTAGTGGCTATAGGGAAGACATCAGCGGACTGGAGCTGGGGAGTTGCAACACTCCTGTTCAAAAAGGAAGACCACAAGGAGTACTGAAATTATCAAGGCATCCCGTTATTGAACCTCCGAAATAAGATCTGCGCAAAGGTGGTACTAAGGAGGTACCGCGGGATAACTGACACCAAGATACAAGAAGTGCAGTGTGGCTACCGGCCCGATCGAAGCATCCTTAGCCATATATTTGCAATGCGCCAGATAGTTCAGAGATACTGTGAGTTCGCCCATACGGTGTATGTGTGCTTCATGGACCTAGAGAAACCGTATGACTGCATCCAGCACCTGAAAGCAGGTGCTGCCTAGTGTAAATGGCGCTAAGTCGAAGTCTTTCAGCATTGGCACTGGTATCCGCTGCAATCTGACCCATCTGCTATTTCTGTGATTTAAACATACGATAATCGGGTGCAGGCAGCGCGATGAAAGTAGGAGGAGGAGTAAAGACGAGAAGTCTGCTGCTTGCTTGCAGATGATACTGTTTTGTGGAATCTTCTGAAACTGATCTCCAGTGCTCTTTAGAAAGGTTCGCAGCCGAGTGCGACGTGACTGGCATGCGTGTGAACGC